GCCCCCACCCTTCTTTCTGTGTATTTACAATTGGCACTGGGATTACGTTCATGGTCAGGTTTCGTTATCTGTGTCTCGTCTGTTATTATGTATGCTTTCGTTTATCCGAAAATTTCAATTAAATTAAAAAAATTAATAAAGTGGAAACACTAGACGTTCACTATTCCTCAATGCTGAGGTTTTAGGACTTTGGATAGATACTGTATTTTTTGCTCTATAAGACGCACCAGACCACAAGACGCACCTAGTTTTAGGAAGAGGAAAACAAGAAAAAAAATATTCTGAATCTCAGAAGCCAGAACAGCAAGAGGAATTGCTGCGCAGTGAAAGCAGCAATCCCTCTTGCTGTTCTGGCTTCTGTGATAGCTGCGCAGCCTGCATTCGCTCCATAAGACGCACACACATTTCCCCTTACTTTTTAGGAGGTAAAAAGTGAGTCTCATAGAGCAAAAAATACGGTAATTCCAATCTGCTGTGGCGAGACTGGACCCAGCAGTCAGTCACATCAGGCACCCCACCCTGTTATGCTGTTTCCCTGCAACTTCCCAGAGTTCAGGTAGGCAGGACTACATGGAGAAAGGAGTAGGAAAACGACAAAAGTCCAGTTGTGTGAGCAAAATTAGCCTACAAACAGCAGCTTGGGTGATTTCTGCCCTTCAGCTGCCATTGGGGTTATCTTTATACCATTCTACCTGGAGACATTCCAAATTTCAGAGAGCTAACCTAACATTGCTGCGAACAACCAAAGTCCTCTTACCATCGCCAGTGTTGTGATGCTCAAAATGTTCATGCCTGTGTGCACTTTGCTACAACTCTGCTCTATGAGCCAGAGAAGCAAATTGGCTAATGGCACCGGATGTGTACAGGATGTGCATGCGTCAGAGAGGATTGGGGTCAGCTAGGGGTCCCTGCTGTGCTCCACGGTGGAGCGGGGAATGGAGGACATACGAACTCTACTTCTCTCTATGATCCATGGTGAGAAAATGCAAATTACTTCTGGAGCCTCTCCAGCTTCCTGAAGTCTCCACTGATGGCTTACACTGCATTTACTCCTGGCAACCACCCAAGACAGATCAGGAGTGGCTGAAAGGAGAAATAATTCAGCCAATAGGAAAACGTGCTCTGGTCCATACTGCCTGTTGTTGTCGGGTAGGTCCATCCAGGGCTTTTTTCCCGGGGGAAACCCACCAGAACTAAGTTCTGGCGCCTCTCAGGTAGGTTCTGGAACCTCTCAGGTGAGTTCCAGCACCTCTTATGTGGGTGCCATTGCCATTCTAAGACAAAAAGGGAGGCGTTCATGGTGAGTTCCGGCACCAGTGTGGTGTAGTGGTTAAGAGCAGTAGACCCGTAATCTGGTGAACCGGGTTTGCATCTCCGCTCCTCCACCTGCAGCTGCTGGGTGACCTTGGGCTAGTCACACTTCTCTGAAGTCTCTCAGCCTCACTCACCTCACAGAGTGTTTGTTGTGGGGCAGGAAGGGAAAGGTGAATGTTAGCCGCTTTGAGACTCCTTCGGGTAGTGATAAAGCGGGATATCAAATCCAAACTCTTCTTCTTCTTCTACCTCTTTTTCTGGAAAAATAGCACTGGGTAGGTCTCTGATCCGATCTGGGAAGTCAAATCTTTGCTCAGTCTTCTGAGCAGTTTTGACTGGGAGTGGCCACCAAGACCATATAACAACGGTCCTGAAACACCTTCATTGGCTCCCAGTACGTTTCCAAGCACAATTCAATGTGTTGGTGCTGACCTTTAAAGCCCTAAACTGCCTCGGCCCAGTATACCTGAAGGAGCGTCTCCACCCCCATTGTTCAACCTCGACACTGAGGTCCAGCTCTGAGGGCCTTCTGGCGATTCCCTCACTGCAAGAAGTGAGGTAACAGGGAACCAGGCAGAGGGCCTTTTTGGTAGTAGCACCCTCCCTGTGGAATGCCCTCCCATCAGATGTCAATGAAGTAAACAACTATCTGTCTTTTAGAAGACATCTGAAAGCAGGTGTGTTTAGGGAAGTTTTTAACGTTTGATGTTTTATCGTGCTTTTAATATTCTGTTAGGAGCCAGCCAGAGTGGCTAGGGAAACCCAGCTAGATGGGCGGGGTATAAATAAAGTATTATTATTATTATTATTATTATTATTATTATTATTTTAGCAGCAGTTTCAGCTGATAGGTGGTGGGAGAAATCCAACCATCAGGGACTCAATTTAAGCTCTTGGTTGTTTCTTTGAAGCCCTGCCCTGCCCACATCAGATGTTTTGTGACTTGCCCAAAATGGACTTGTGACCCACAGGAGAAGGCCTGACAAACCAAGTCTGGCTCACCGGCCAGAGGCTTCCAACCCCTGGTCTATGCAGAAGTGAGGACCATGCCAAACCAGATGCCAAGACACTGAGCTCTGGCCCTCTGCTTTAATAGGAACATAGCAAAGTGCCTTATACTATCCATCTGTCCAGCTCAGTATTTTCTGGACTGACTGGCAGTGGCTGTCTAGAGCTGGAACTACACTCACCTTTTAAAAGTTATTAGAACGATATTAGAACGTCAAGGCAGCAAAAGTCCCCTTTGGTTTCGTTTCCCTCCCTGGTTTCTGGTTGCTCTGCAGCGCCCTCTGGTGTCACATTTTAATAACACATTATGAGTGTTTTATTTTAAAAAGTTGCATGGTTATATTGTTATCAGAATAATTCCTTAACTCCTTTTTAGCATTAAAAACCATAAGTGTAGATCTACACCAGGATTTCAGGCCAGGAACATCCATAGCCCTACCAATTTCCTATGATTGTAAGTTGATTCGAACTTTTCTTAACATTATCTTTATCTTGTATCATTACCAGAAAAGAAATAGAGATCGGATTTGCTTTTGATAAACCTATTCTGGGTCTTAGTAATCACAGTGTCCTATTCTAAGTGCTCGCAGACTAACTGTTGAAAAACAGTATGCTATTGAGGTGGTTCATTCCAGAGCTTTTACCCAAACAGGTGAAGTGGCACAAATATTTTGGGTGTTTCTGTGTTTGAAAGCATTGGATGCAATGTTTCATTCTGGGAGTAGGGGAGATGGAATTATTACAAAGGCAACAGTTGATTTTCCTACTGTTTGAGATTAGAATCTCTGGGCCTTGAGTTCTAGCCAAAAAGAAGATCTTCCTTGTCTTGTCTACTTTGGGCTGCTGGCACTGCTAACTTTGAGCCAAGGTGCCAGCAACCCATTAAAAAACCTGTTGCAATTGCAAACGCATCCTCCGCTTGGCTAATATGGCTGAGCACAAGGGAAATCCCATACAGAGTGCATTGCAGTAACCCAGTCTTGCAAAACCTGACAATTGTCACATACATTTCCAGTGCCTTTCTACAGCTAGCTGTGTTTGCAAACATGCACTCATCAGCAGAAGTGTATTTATGAGTGGAGCAATGGGGTCAGGGTCCAAGGTGGCAAATTAGAGGGGGAGCAGTATTTGCAGCACTAGCAGGGGAAAGAGACTCTTAGCTTTCATTTTTAAAGTACTAAACTAAATATCTTCACAGAAGCTTATGAAAAGCTTGGCCTATCGCTCAACATCCAAAAAACCAAACAACAAGCACAAAACAACTCAATAGTGTTACATTGGAAAGTGTCAATCACTTCTCCTACATGGGCAGTTATGTTTCCACAAGGGCTGACACTGATGCCGAAATCCAGCATCGCCAGAGCTCTGCGAGTGCAGCTTTCTCCCAATTGAAGTGCAGAGTGTTTGAGGCCCAGGACATTCGCAGGGAAACCAAAATGCTTGTTTACAAAGCTATTGTACCACCAACATTACTGTATGCCTGTGAAACATGGATCCCTTATAAACACCATCTTCAACTCCTCGTAAGATTCCATCAATGGTGTCCCCAATAATTTTTACACATGACTTGGGAAGACAGGCAAATTTATGCCAGTGTACTGGAAGAAGCAAAGATCCCCAGTGTTGAAGCAATGATTCTTCAACATCTTTGTTGGACTGGTCGTGTTGTGCAGATGCCCGATTATCATCTTCCAAAACAACTACTCGATTCCAAACTTAAAAATGGAAAGCGTAATGCTGGTGGTCAACAAAAGAGGTGTAAAGACTTTCTCAAGGCAAATCTAAAAAAATGTAGTATAAACACTGGCAACTGGGAAACACTGGCCATGGAGCGCTCCAATTGGAGAACAGCGTTTACCAAAGGTGTCCTGGACTTTGAAGATGCTCGAATTCAGGACAAAAGGGAGAAACGTGCTAAGAGGAAGGCATGCTTGGCAAACCCTCACTATGATCAACTACCGTCCGGAAACCTATGTCACCACTGTGGAAGGACGTGCGGATCCAGAACTGGCCTCCACAGTCACTTACAGGCCCACTGTTGAAACCGTGTTTATGGAAGACAATCTTACTCGACTATGAGTGCTCACCAAAGAAGCAGCAGCAGCAGCTTTCACTTTGAAAGAACTACAGTGGTACCTCGGGTTACATACGCTTCAGGTTACAGACTCCGCTAACCCAGAAATATTACCTCGGGTTAAGAACTTTGCCCCAGGATAAGAGAAATGGCGGCGCGGCGGCAGCGGGAAGCCCCATTAGCTAAAGTGGTGCTTCAGGATAAGAACCGTTTCAGGTTAAGAACGGACCTCGGGAATGAATTAAGTACTTTACCTGAGGTACCACTGTAGTAAGGTCCTATGTCCTCTAGGAGAACCATATAAGCCTACATTGATTCCTGCACATTTGTTTAAAGAAATGTGAAGTAAAGGAGTCTGAACTAAAGAGTTCTGTCATGGATGCTTTAGTTGAGATTCCTTGGGGTCCCTTCTGAATGGGAGCTATCCCTTTAATGGGAAGCCCCACATTGAATGCAAGAACAACTCTCCCCACCCACGAATCCCAGAAACTGTGATTCAGAACTACGGCTGCCTCAAGCTGCTGTGCTTTTCAAAGGCTTTAAGTTGTGGAGTTTCAATCACTAGCTAAAAGAAAAAGGCAGGCCTCTGGTCACACAATTTTTTCCCCAAAATTTTGTTTCATTAAAAAAAAACCTTTATTTGCAAATTCAACAGATAAAAAATAACCTTATATAACAAATACAAATAGTAACAAAATAAGAATACACACAACACATTACATACATAGTGCTCATCACATTAAGGACTCGGCTAGGCTGGTGAAGAAAGTGTTGTGTATGCAATATAACCCTGTGCCACCAGATGGCGCTGTGGAGTCCCATCTTTCCCTCCCATCTTTCCCTGTTTAAATTTACAACACGTTTAACTGAAACTCTGATGTGTTCAAATCCAGTCTAGATATCCAAAAGGCATCCGCACAAAACTGGCATCTCCAAGACCTATTTTCAAATGTCGCCAAGGCAATGCAAAAGGTCGTTATTTATCAAAATGTGTGTGCTGTGTACAAAACTAAGCAGAAATAGCTCACTGCATTGCATTTGTGGTTTAGTAGGCTCGCCTTTCTGCACTGCTACACATGAGGCAGCCCAGGAGCCGCAGAAACAATGAAAAACCTCACATCCTACCGCAATGCAATGCCAGTAAGTCATAATGAGGGGAAAACGTGACTCTAGAAATAAACAAGTCAATCAAAGTGCTGTCCAGTAGTTCCTTTCAAACACAACGGGATAGTGATAAATGAATATTCAAAAGTATCGTAGCTCCAGGCTGGTGCAAATCCTATGTGGTTGTTCTGTATTTTGGCGGGAAGGTGGATTTTTGCTACAAAATACAAAACACCACCCATGTTCTTTGGGGGAACCCAGTGGCTGTGATGCACGCGGCCGATGAGAATTGTAGTCCAAAACATTTGGAGGGCACCAGATTGTGAAGGTTGCTGTAATTATTCATGTGCTTTCTCCTGAAGGGATACCAGAATATCCACACTCCACTATCCACTATCCAGGCATAGGCAAACTTGGCCTCCCAGGTATTTTGGAACTACAACTCCCATCATCCCTAGTTAACAGGACCAGTGGTCAGGGATGATGGGAAGTGTAGTCCCAAAACAGCTGGAGGGCCGAGTTTGCCTATGCCTGCTCTTAGCCGTTGAGTTTCTCCCAAGTGCAAGTTTTGTAATGCAAATTAACGTATGTATTCCACAAAACCCTCGATGTTTATAAAGTGCGTTCACCTCCGTGAATTCTCTGGTGAAGTTTAAGGCTTGATCCGTGACGGAAACTCTTCTGACACTGGGAACATTGATACGGCTTCTCCCCTGTGTGGATTCTGTGGTGCCTGTTCAGGTTTCCACTCCAGCCGAAGCTCTTTCCGCACTCGAAGCATTTGTACGGCTTCTCCCCTGTGTGAATTCTTTTATGCACTCTCAGGTACGTGCTCTGAACGAAGCTCTTTCCACACTCTGAGCATTTATAGGGCTTTGTGCCAACATGGAATCTCTGGTCTGAGCTGCGAGAGAATGGCTTCCTGTTCTCTGAATATTCATGTGGTTTTTCTCCCATGTGGATTCTCTGATGTTTAGTAAGGTTCATCCAGCCAATGAAACCCTTTCCACACTCTGAGCACATCAACAGTCTCTCTCCATTCTCAATATTCCTTTTGTTTCCTGCATGATGTTCTGCTAGTATTGGAACTTCACGGAAGCCAGCCGCTACGGAAGTCAAGCGTTTCTGTTCAGTTTTCTTTCTTTGGGGACTGTTTTCTTCATCACTATCACTCCCATCACCTGAAAGAATCGAGAGAGAAATCAGGAACAGGTCCTCAAATCAGGTAGGAAATGAAATCAAAGAAAGCAGAAAATATTAAGTGGGGAGGCAGATCTTTTCAATTTCATCAAACAGCCTCTGATGGTGAAAAGGAAATAATAACTGATACTGTTACACATGCCACATGTGTTCCGCATTTGTAGGAAATTGGTATTTTAGTATGGCAGTCTCTATACTTTTGAACTCCCTGCATATTGATATGAGACAAGTGCCTTCACTCTACTCTTTTTGGCGCCTGCTAAAAACATTTTTGCTGCGACAAGTCTACCCAGATATCTAGAATACTGATGTGTTTGTAGTTTATTACTATTTTAAATTATTTGAATTTACCCTTGATTTCTGCAGGGGAATAGCTGTAGTTGCTTTGTGCCTTGCTTTGAGGTTTTTCTATAATCAAGCGCTAAATAATGTTTTTGTAAAATAAGTAGCATAAAGTAAATCTATTACGCACCCTCTGCCAACGGGTCCTGGGGTGGTTTACAACAATCTAAAATCCGTAATTTTAAAAAGGATAAAAATATTACAGTCCTGGGAAAGGGGCAGGCTCTCAAAACGTGTCTCAAGGCCAGGGTAGAGAGCTACCTCTTCAGCATTCAGTTACAGGTAAGAGAAAACAGGTGAGTTTTTATAAAGACTTTCTTAAACTGAGGGGAGCTCCCGTTGTATATCTTTCAGAAGTGAATTCCAGAGTGCAGGAGACACTACCAAAAAGGTCCTGCCTGCCTCTGGTGCCCACCAGTTGAATAAAGGAGGGCACGGGAGTCTGGCCACACAGAAATCAAAATGTCTGCCAGGTGTCTGCATAGCTTGCTAGGCCGAAAATGCCGGAGTCCCATGTCAATTACCTACCTGCTAATTTCTCTTCAGAGCCCTCAGTGAATGCATTTTCCCATTCTTTCTGCAAAGCGATGTCAGATCTGGAAACTGGTAGTCCTTTTTTCAGAGAAAGAAGATATTATTATTTATTCAATTTATATACTGCCCTTTATCAGGGCGTCGTACAACGTTAAAACACATTACACAGCATCAATGACACAAACATAGTAAAGAGCATACCGACAGACAACCTAATTAGAATAATAGTCCCCACACTTTTACAGGTCATAGATTAATTAATAGCCATAGGCCTGGGTAATGTTATAATGCTGCCTTAAATGTATAGCTTGGATGGGGCCAGAGCTTATTTAACTGACTATTTATTTATTTGAATTTTTTTGATTTGCACTTTCATAGCATATATCAAGGCAGCTCGTGGCATAAATTCAATTAAATCAGTCAATAAATATCTGTAAAATGGTCAGCCAGTAAGCTTACTGGGAAATGATATATAATGAATTGAAGAGGATGTTCAACAAAATAACCTTTGTAAAAAAACAAACAAACAAAAAACCCAGAAGCTTCTCTTTTGGGAATTTAGCAACAGAACTACCTAAATTGTATAGAAATTTATTTATGTATGCGACTACAATAGCAAGGATGCAAAAACTTATGGAATATGCAGAAATGGTGAAATTTACCGGAAGAACAAGAAATCAAGATAAACTTTTTATAAAAGAATGGAACTGGCTTAGTGAACATTTACAGATAAATTGCAAACAGATAAAAACATTGGCAGGATTACTGCAATAACCTGCAGTTTCATTCGAGTTTATATTTAAAGTAGATAATTAAATGAGCAAATTAAATGAGTTTGGATATGCAGAAGATATTAAAAAATAAATTTAAGGATCGGCAGAAAGGAGGGGGGGCGCGGAGGAAGCCAAACTTTGAAATGTTAAAATGATTGTGAAATTAATGAAATGTATGAATTTGAAAAGTATAAATAAACTTTAATGAAAATAAATATCTGTAAAACATGTTTACAAACATCAGTAAAACAGCAACAGATACTAGCTGGCTGAAGGGGAGGGGAAATCCATATTGTAAAGATGTACCTAAAAAGTAAAGTTTTTAAGAGAGACATAACTGTCATCGTTTCCCTTTCTTAAAGGGAAATTCCCTTATTCCGAATAGGATTCCTCGCAATAAAAAGGAAATGTTGACAGGTATGTAGACGTCTGAAAGAAGGCAGGGAGTTCCGCAGGGTGGAGACTGCCACACTAAAGGCCCTGTCAGCTACTGTGACGTTTCCCACAATGCACTGCCGCATACAAAGAGCAGCAACTATTCCTGCTTTCAGGATCTATCGGCCAAAACCAAGGAGGAGCCTTACCTAAAAATACCAGACTCGCATAATTCTCCTCCATGACTTCTTTGTGCAGCGCTCTCTGGTCCGGATCCAGCAGGAACCATTCCTCCTCCGTGAAACGCACTGCCACCTCCTCAAGGGACACAGGAGCCTGAAAGAAGGATGTCCCATCAAATCCCGCACCTCTCGCTGGGTCTGAAAAAGGAACCTGCCCATCTCCCCAACAATTCCACCCACCCCGTACCTGTTCCAACTGGGCAGAAGCCATTTCCAGCCCACCACAAAGAGGAGGAGGCCTAGAAGGAACCTCTGGGGCCATCTCACTGTCTCCAAACGTTGTTCGACATCCTATGGGGAAGACAAAGAAAACGGGGAGGCATTTTAGGCTCCGTAATTTAACCACAGGATTCAGGCATATTCAAGAGAAGGAGAGACTATATTGAAGCCTGCTCCGTTATGGTCCTTACCCAGAGAGGTGGTGCACATGCCAGCCTCCTGCTTGATCTCCCTGAACAGTGGCCTCTCGGTGGCATCTGGCAGGGTGTTCTCTGCCTCTATGAAATGTGAGGTTGCTTTGGATGACATCTCCTGCGCCTGAGATAGGAACCCATGCAAGAAAGTGGAGGGGGGGAGACAGGAAACAGGTCAGGCAAAGGCCAGGGGTGCCATTAAATAACGCAAAATGAATAAATGTTCAAGTATTAAGTTATTATTACTGTATTGGCCCGTATATAAGCCGCACTTTCCCCCCAAATTCCGACCGTGCAGCTTATATTCACGACCTTACAAAAATTATCCAGTATGCAGCCAGGAGCACAGCAAAGTGGTGCCTGTCCCACGCGTAGTCCCCCGTCCTTTCCCCCAAGGCCGGGAAGGGAGAAAGCGGGGAAGGGAGCAGCTTATATTCGGGCCAATACGGTATCATCATCATTATTAATAATTATTATTTACCCTCCCTTTCACTCTAAGGTCCCAGGGCAGGTTGCAGCATTAAAACACAATACTAAAAACAATTCAAAAATTGGATTCATAGAAGTAAGGAGAGTCCTAAAAGCATACACCTCAAAAGCCAGGGTAAAAATGAGCGTCATCAGCATTCGCTGGAAGCCGTATAATGTAGGTACCAGATGTACCTCTGTGGGGAAGGAGTGCCACAGCTTAGGGGCCACCACAGAGAAGGCCTTCTGCCACCCACCAAATCTCTGAGGGTGCAGGAACTACCAAGAGGGCCCCATCTGCTGATCTCAGCACCTGAGAGGGTCTAATTTATCAGCTAGAAGATTGATCAGCACTTCCTGAGGCAGTGAATCCAAATGCAACCAAGGATTGGGGCCTTGGAATTACCAAAGCAAAACAGTCTCTCACCTCAGCCTCCTTCTGGTCTTCCGCTTGGCTCATAAGAAAACCTTCAGCCAGGGCCACTGCCTCGGCGCAGGTCTCCGGCCCACAATCTCTGACCCAGCTTTGCATCTCCGGGGGGAGGGCAGCCAGGAACTGCTCCAGGATCACCAGGTCCAGCATCTGAGCCTTGGTGCGTCTCTTCGGCTTCAGCCACTGTTGGCAGAGGCGGTGGAATCGGCTGCAAACCTCTCGGGGCCCCTCGGCCTCCTGGTAGCGGAAATGCCTGAAACGTTGGCGCTGAGCGTCAGAGCCAAGGACGTCCTCCTCCCCCAGGATCTCCTGTGCGGTTCTCTTTGAGGCTGTCACGCTGCCCCTCGCCTGGACGAAGTGAGGAGTTACCCCTGCTCTTTTCCCTGCGTCAGTTGCCACAGAGTCTAGCTCTTCCATCTTTCCTCCACAGAGCCGGTCATTTGCCTTTTCTTTCTGCCTAGGAGGGAAGGAGCGTGTTGTATTGCTGCTTCTTTCGGCCTTGTCAGCCACATCTCTGTGCCATTTCATGAGGTGACTGTGCATTGTGGTGGTTCCCACGTGCTGGCAGCCGCTGGGCTTCCCAAGACTAACAGTTTGACTGCAACGGACCGCAAATTTGCTATTGGCATCCTTGGCGAAGAGTTTCCACACAAAAGACGTTTTCCCACGATGGGCTGATGGTTCCATGTTGGCGGCAACCTTTCGAAGTGGGTTCTTTTGGGGCCTTTTGATGCCAGAGGCTCCTCCTTCCTTGAGTCCTGGTAGTGCCCTTTCCTTTGCCCAGTCCTCCTGTACCAGCACAGCGCTGCCATCTCTGGACTCAAAATCTTGGCTGCTGTTGCTCTCTAGCAAAGTGAATTCCATTGGCTGGCATGCCACACAGGTCAGCGGAGTGGACTGCAATCTAGAACTGCCTGACATGGACCGAGTGTGAGGCCTGGAGGGTGTCATCTGGCCACTTCCTGCTACCTTGTTAAGAGCGGAGTGAGACCCCAAGGTGCCTGAGACAGACCGGGTTCGAGGCCTGGAAGATGCAGTCTTGCCACTTTCTGACGCCTTGTCAAGGACGTCTCTGTGCTTCCTCATCATGTGACTGTGCATTGCAGTGGTTCCTACCAGCTGGCAACCATCAGGCCTCCCAAGGCGAACGGCCCTATGGCAGACACGGCACTGGACCACAAATTTGCCTGTTGTCGTGAAGTACCTCCACACGAAAGAGATCCTCTGCCTTTTTGCTGGTGGCTCCATAGTGGTGGTGTCCTCTGGCTCAAAGGACGTGGAGGAGGACTGTCTTAGGAGGCGCCTGCTTCTACGCAGCTTTGGGACCTCGCCTGGGGTGCTGTTCAGGGGAACTTGGACACAATGTGCTTCTGCTTGCGCTGGAAGTGGCAAGTTCAGCACGTCAGAACTGGGCGCTTCCTTCTCTTCCTCCATGCTGCTCTCCAATGCCAGAACGAAATTCTCATCATCCAACTCAAAAAGATCCTCTTGGGAAGGCTCCAGTGGAGATTCTTCCATAGGGTTTTGGGAACCACTCCATGCCTCTTTTATGCTGAACTGTGGTCCCAACCAGTTCCTTTCGTTTGTCCTCTCCATCTTATTCTGCAGGTTGCCCATTGTGCAAGAGGCAGTCACTGTGAAGCAATCCAGCAGAGTCTAGCTTTTTCTGGTGGGAGAGAAAGAGAGAAAATCAATCACTGCTTTTCAATAGAAGCACCCATTGAAATTTAATGGAAGGCAATTTGTATGAGCTTAAATGTGCAGTGTAGTTTTTGGATTCATCCAAGTTGCTGGAAGCTCCTTATTTCCCAAGTCAGAACCTGCAGGTTCTGTACTGATCCCCAAGGTCTTTTGGACCTCATAGTGATTGCAACTCACAACAAGGTGCAGATGATTTGCAGAAAAGTTGATTTTATTCTCTGCAAGTTTGTCACTTACTCTTCTCCAAACCATGTGTTCCCCCCCCCACACACAAATTTTTCCCTTAGCCTGCACTGTTGCTGCACTTTCTTCCACAAGCAAAAGCCTCACATCAGAAATAGGAAGCATGTGTGGTCATGGCACTGTTTCAGAAACTATTGGAAATATAGCATTAATTTATTTCATAGAATTTCTATACTGCTTGGGTTTTTTGTGTGTGCTTTTTAAAAGCCTCAAATCAATTTAAAAAAAGATAATACTGTAACATCAAGGGAGGGAACCCCATTGTATTTTGAAACATTTTTTTGAAAAAACTAAAACTTATTAAAATTCCCTCAACTTCTAAGCCGTAAAAGCGCTTGATCAGAAGGCAAGTAGAGTAGGTGCTGCAACAATAAACAAGACAGGATCTACATTTCTAACCTTCCTTTCACATTACAGAACAGGCAACTGTGGTGTGATTGAAATTTAGAATGGCGTAACATTATTAAATGTCTGGATGTGAAAAAAGAACATTTTTTAAAAACACAGAACTTATAACTCCCATGATCCCTAGTTAGCAGGACCAGTGGTCAGAGATGATGGCTATAATCTGTAAATCTAACCAAATAAACCCGATGTCCAAAACATCTGGAGGGCCGAGTTTGCCTATGCCTGTTCTAGCGATCCCAGTTTGATGTATTACTATGAACCAGGGGCAAGTCAATTACACGGTTCAGGGGCAGTGTGAAAGGATTGCAAAACTTTGGCACCAGCTTGGAGGGGCCCCAAAATTTCAGGGTTTGCAGTTAATGAAGCTCCAGAGCATGTTTTGCAGTGAGTCTGCGTATAAACACCTATTTAGCTACTAAGAGGACAAATAGCACCAGCACTTTGCAGTGGTGAGGCAGAAGTCGCTTTTGGGGTGCTGGGGTTCCTAGGATGCTGTCTTAGGGACCCTGCTCCCCAAAACGTAATGTGCCTACCACCCACTCGCCCCCTGCAACCCCAGACAACTGCACCCCAGATGAGACAGACCAATGGCCCCTGCTAAAAATATACATAGAACAATTTAAATACAGGTGAGCAAAAAGAGGTGCTAAATTGATGCAGCGTGTGGTAACACCTAAACTTTGGAACTGCCTGTCTATTGACATCAAACAGGCATCCTTGCTGTATTATTTTCGGCACCCACTTAAAACATTTTTGTTTAGGCAAGCCTATCCAGACATTTTTATTTTTTTAATAAAGAAAGATAAAAATGACTGTTTTTTTGCAGTACATTTCTAGAGCTAATTTAAATTTACCTCAGAGGAAAACCATTTGTTGAACATCTTTTTTTCACCCTTAACTTTATGTGTAATGCATTCAGCAGGGAAAAAACCAACAAATTTTTAGAAATTTTCCATTAATTCCTGTAACACACCATGTAATACTGACATGTAAAAGTGTTTCCTTTCTTACTAACTGCCCTGGATTTTAATCTTCTGAATGTTTTCAATATTTGCTTTTAACTACAGTGGTACCTGGGTTTGCAAACAGTCTGGTTTGCATACATTTTGGATTATAAACACGGCAAACCCAGAAGTGTGTGTCCCAGTTTGCAACCTTTTTTTGGATTACAACCCTTTTTTTATTATTACGAGGAAAAAAATTTGGAGGCCCCATTGGCAAAAGCATGCCTTGGGTTACAACCTGTTTTGGTTTACAAACAGACCTCCGGAACAGATTATGGTTGTAAACCAAGGTACCACTACAAGTTTGTTTGTTTTACACACTCGAGCTGTGTATATATTTTGTGTTTACACTTACACACACAGGCACACATAACCTCCCATTACACAATAAATAATAATAGTGCCAAAGCAATTTGCAACTAACGTAAAAATATGGCGTTGTGCCCAATGCTAGTCCTACTCAGAGTAGGCCCCACAGAAGTTCATAGGTTTCTTAATTTCAGCAGGTTTACTCAGAGGAGACCTGCTGAAATTAAGAAACCTATGAACTACTTGTTCTTAGTTGGATACAAACTGGAGTAATAAAAATGGACACTAGCATGTTTAAAAGTCAGGATAGGATTATAATATCATGAGAAGGGTTCATGCCTTTGATCGAGGGGGAGCTGACTATGAAATAGCTCTAAAGGGGGGGGGGGGAGCAAAGATCTTCCCTGCTTCTAATTGAAAGCTGCCCATTCAGTTTTCTCCCAACGGGATGCAAAAGGGGTTTCTCAGTGTTCAAGGGCAGAACATCTTAAGAGAGGGGTCAGCAAACCTTTTCAGCAGGGGACCGGTCCACTGTCCCTCAGACCCTGGGGGGGGGGGAGACTATATTGGGGGGGGGGGGAGGGAATGAACGAATTCCTATGCCCCACAAATAACCCAGAGATGCATTTTAAATAAAACTGCACATTCTACTCATGTAAAAATACGCCGATTCCGGGACCGTCCGCGGGCCGCATTTAGAAGGCAATTGGGCCTTAAGTTTGCCTACCCATGTCTTAAGATTTCAAAGAGCGAGAAACAGAGCCTAGATAGGTCGCGTGCAGGAGCGAGGGGGGCCGAAGGGCTGTCGTTATGCAGAAGTTTCCCATTTCCTTTTCAACCTCACAATCTGTTGCACTTGCATGCATGGGCGCAGCCGGCGTGGGGGGCAGCTGCCCGAACCCAAGCAATAAAAATGCATAGCAAACAAAAATCCTGACTACGCCCAGGATTGCAGACACGTTTTTTCCCAGGGCTTTCGCATTTGTGTGCACGCACACACAAAACCTCCCCGCTTTCCAAACACACATTTTTACAGCTGCTTGCTGCTGTGCCGCTTTGCCCGCCTCCTTCCCGTCCTCTCCCTGCTTGCTTGCCTGCCTTCTCCAGCCGGGAGCGCGCAGCAGCAGCTCTCGCCTTCCCCTGACTGTAGGCGCGGGAGTCACGGGCAGACGGTGCGCAATTGCCCCGCGCTCAGGGCTGGAGGAGGCAGGCAAGCAAGCAAGCAGGGGAGAGAGCGGAAAGGAAGCCGGATCGGTGGGTGCGCGCGCGCGGCTATCCCGCGCCTGGGAGCGCACTCTCCGCACCCCTCGGAGCGCGCACCCCGCGCCCCTTGGGAACGCGCCTGCCCTGGGCAGCGACGGCATATGCTGCGCCACTGACCCTTCTTGCAGTGCAGTCCGCCCCTGATTCCCCAACGTGCAAAAGATCTCTTTTTGGCGACGGCGGTGTCGGGAGAGAGAGAAAAGAGTTTCTGGTTGCCGGCAAAAGTTTTCAGAAAACTCCCCTCTCTGTCCAGGCCCGCTCTGGACCCTCAATCCCGCTACTCCCATCTCTATTTGATTTTTAAAGATCGGATCTATCAATTGGGACAGAGCCACACACACTCCGCTTTTCCCGGGAGCAAATCCCTGCTTCCACGGGAGCGCACACCAAGTTGCTAGACCTCTGGAGGTTTCGCATTACGAAAGGTAGTCGCAATCATCGAAAGGGCAAGCCGATGCTGTTATTTGCAGAACACAATTTCAAATAACTGCATCGGCTTGCCCTCTAGATGTTTTGGACTACCTTTCGTAATGCGAAAATATATAACATTCTACTAGGTTTTATACAAATATCACAAGAATAAAAACACACTAACAAAAATGAAAAATACAAAAATATACTAAAGCAATATTAAACCGCCCGCCCCCCGGGATTCCCTGAATCCCGTGACTTTCCTCCACCCCCTCTCCTGGTTCCTTTACCATATTTTTTTCTACTGCATATCTTATTTTTCCTTCAGTTTTTCTATAGTGTCCCTAAAATTACAAGTTACAGGTAGGTAGCCGTGTTGGTCTGCCGTAGTCGAAGCAAAATAATAACAAAAAAATCCTTCCAGTAGTAGCACCTTAGAGCCCAACTAAATTTGTCATTACTAAAATTACAAGTGTTCTTAAAATCCTGCCAATGCGTTAACGTGTTTACAGTGCGCAATTGTGTTTCTCAAATCGCCGCTGCAGCCATGTTTCGCTTAAACCCAGCACAACCGAGCGGTTTAAGCTAAATTTGGCTGCGTGGGCAATTTGAAAAAAAAAAGACTTCATAGCAATTGTAAAAAGGAACCAACCTCAGGGTTTTAGGCAGACGATCCTACTCTCTGTAGCCAAAGGGGCGCTGCTGGAAGCTGGACGAAAGATGATTTCCAGTACAGTAATCCACACGTTCCCCAGAGGAGAAAAGACAGCGATCTCTCCTCGACCCTGCAAACGCGTGTGAGAAAGTTTTGCAAACTAAGGGTATAAATAGTCACGGCTGCCGAAAAGAAGGGTGGGGTCGTGTAGGGCAGGGCAGGAGGCGTGGCGACCTCCCAAGTCGTCGTCCCCTCTCCTACCCCCACCCAACCACAGAATGGAGAGCTTTGACCTTGTTCGGATCAAAGCGGGAGAATTGAGAGAGTTTAACGCCTCCGGCTAGTTTTCAGATCCTGAGCACGCTTTTTGAAAAATATGGATACTGTTTGTTTATTGCATTTATCTAATTCACTGCTCTTTTTTTCCATCCAAGGAGCTTCTTGTAGGGGGGTGAATTAGATGAGCCTTTGGTTCCAACGCTGCAATCCGATGATTCTGTGAATATCGGTTGCCAGGAATTGCAGATGGGGAGAGGGGTGTTGGGCTCAGGTACCATTTGCAGACAGCACTGGGGGGGGGGGGAATATTTATTTATTTATTTACTTACTTACTTATTGTATTTATTTCCTGCCTTTTCCTCCAAGAAGCAAAAAAGTTGGCATGCAGGGCTTTTCTCATTTAATCTCCAACAACAACCCTATGAAGTAGGTAGGGCTGAGGGTGAGGATTTGAACCCAGGTCCTGCACTACCCCCTGGCTCTTTCAATCATAGAATCATAGAGTTCTAAGGGGTCACCAAGGGTCATCTAGTCCAACCCACTGCAATGTAGGAATCTCAGCTGTGGTCTAAAAACCACTGAGGCCAAGGCTTGCCGATCAGAAGGTTGGCAGTTCGAATCCCCGCGATGGGGTGAGCTCCCGTTGCTCGGTCCCTGCTCCTGCCAACCTAGCAGTTCGAAAGCACGTCAAAGTGCAAGTAGATAAATAGGTACTGCTCCAGCGGGAAGGTAAACGGCGTTTCCGTGCGCTGCTCTGGTTCGCCAGAAGCGGCTTAGTCATGCTGGTCACATGACCCAGAAGCTGTACGCCGGCTCCCTCGGCCAGTAAAGTGAGATGAACGCCGCAACCCCAGAGTCGGTCACGACTGGACCTAACGGTCAGGGGTCCCTTTACCCTTTACCTTTACAGCTGAAGCATCCATGACAGAGGGCCATCCAGCCTCTCCTTGTAAACCTCCATGGAAGCAATCCACAACCTTCCAAGGTAGTCCACTGCTGAACTGCTCTTACTAAGAATTGCAGAGTTGGAAGGGACCATGAGGGTCATCTAGTCCAACCCGCTGCAATGCAGGAATCTTTTGCCCAAGATGGAGCTTGAACCCAAAACCCTGAGATTAAGAGTCTAGAGCATGGGTAGGCAAACTAAGGCCCGGGAGCTGGATCAGGCCCCATCGCCTTCTAAATCCGGCCTGGGAATCAGCGTGTTTTTACATGAGTAGAATGTGTGCTTTTATTTAAAACGCATCTCTGGGTTATTTGTGGGGCATAGGAATTTATTCATATTTTTTTCCAAAATATAGTCCGGCCCCCCACAAGGTCTGAGGGACAGTGGACCGGCCCCCTGCTGAAAAAGTTTGCTGACGCCTGGAGCTCTACCAACTAAGCTGAAGTTTAAGTCAGAAGCTTCAGGCACAGTGACTCTGTCACTAAGCATAAAATAGCTCACACAGTGGACAAACCTTAGAATCATAGAATCATATTGTTATTATAGTCATACCTCGGGTTACAGCCGGTTCAGGTTGCGTTTTTTCGGGTTGCAGACCACCGAAACCTGGAAGTACCGGAACAGGTTACTTCCGGGTTTCGGCGGTTGTACATGCGCAGAAGTGCTAAATTGCACTTTGCACATGCACAGAAGCGCCGAAATCAACCCGCGTGTGCACAGAGGGAGGTCACTTCTGTGCTGCTATTGCAGCAGTTTGACTTCACCCCTGCAAGCACACTCCATTGTCTTTCGAGTTATTGTCTTCCACCGTGAAAACTAGATGGGCCACTGGCCTGATCCAGCAGGCATTCCTGCATTGCAGGGGGTTGGACTAGATGACCCCCTGGGGTCTCTTCCAACTCTACAATTCTATGGTATTTCTTACCTTCTTATGTGTGTTTGTGCTTCTGATGTTTGTTTGTATATTTATTGCCTCCGTTCATACAATTTCTCAGGAAGGTGATTTATTTGCATGAAAAATAAATAATTGCAAATTCCACAAAGAAATAATAATAATAATAATGCATGAATAATGGGATGTCACCATCAGTTCGCATTATGGATGCAGTAAGCATAAATACAAGCCCTCTGAGATGCCCAAATATGCACCTACATGAAATTGACCTCTATATTAAATATTTCCAAATGCAGCCAGGTCAGTGAAAAATGCTATTGTTTATTTAATGTGTGTGTTGAATAAATATTCTCTGTTAACATTCCTTTACAAAACTAAAAGGAAATATTTCATTTCATTTTTAATTTGTATACCTCTACACTGATGTATGAAAGGCAGTCTATAAGCCCCAGAAATGGCAAAATGATTTATTTCTCAAAATTTATATACTGCTTGTTTGACACAAAAACCCCACAGAGTGGTTTACAAGAAGAATAAAATAATGTTCTGATGACCTGTAACCCAATAACACCTGGAATGTTGATACGTCTTTTTTATATATAAAAATTTTATTCATTTTTCTTTTTCATTCATTACATACATCTCAAATTTTTTACATTTACTATGTATTCCTTCCTGCCTCCTCTCCTAAGCTTCCCCCAACTTCTGCTTCTGGTTTGTTTCTCCTTTCACCCACTTTGCTACCTCCTTACGGAAAAAGTTATTAATAACATAACATCAAACCTAAAAACATAAAAGTAAAAGTAAATACACCATAATATTTCTCTATCTTCTACACGTTTTCTAACACTAATAGTGTGAATGTTTATTTAAATCCTGCCATCAAGTCTTTCGACTTTCTTTGTTTCTGCAAGTATAATATAAATGGTTCCCATTCTTTTTCATAGTCTCTGTTGTCTTTTTCTCTTAATCTATCTGTTGTTTTTGCCAGTTCTGCATAGTTCATCAACGTCTCTTGCCATTGTTCTTTACTTGGTATTTCTCCAGTCTTCCAGTTTTGTACAATCAACATTCTTGCTGCTGTAGTGGCATACATAAATAAAGTCCTCTTTTCTTTTGGTATGTCTTGGCCAAAAATACGTAGTAAGAAAGCTTCTGGGTTTTTTTACAAAAGTTATTTTCAATATTTTCATCAGTCCATTATATATCATTTCCCAATAGGAAATCTTTCATTTCATTTCATTTTTAATTTGTATACCTCTACACTGATGTATGAAAGGCAGTCTATAAGCCCCAGAAATGGCAAAATGATTCATTTCTCAAAATTTATATACTGCTTGTTTGACACAAAAACCTCACAGAGTGGTTTACAAGAAGAATAAAATAATGTTCTTATGACCTGTAACACCTGGAGTGTTGAAACTTCAAACATACCCTGCCTTGCAGAGGGTAGAAAGAATCTTCAGTTATATCCAGACACACTCCTGACTAAACTTAAAAGGACATCCCAGGTTGGCAAAAGCTATGAGGGTGTAGCTGTGAAACTGAACTAATCCAATTAATCACTAACTTGACCCCTGGGGGTCTGGATGGCAACAAGTCTTGAGGGCAGAAAAGTAGGTCACCAGCCTCACCTTAATCTGCTTAACAATGGAGAATGCCCTGGGCAATTACCTGGCTTGATGGGCTTCATTTGCAAATGTAAAAGGCGTGGGGTGGGGAAAGGAAAGAAGCCAAGGCTGGCAAAACCTATGCAATCTATATGCATGTATCTACAGTAGCAATTGAAATTATTCAACCACCCACTGAAAATCAAGTTGATTATCAACATTTACAGACTTTCAGCTGTTTGCAATGAGCAAATAAACAAATGCAATGGAAATGGCTCAACACAAGGGATGCTTCAAGTGGTTCCCCCAAATTCAGCTGAAATTGCAATGTATATATGCAATGCCATATATATATATATATATATCGCACAAAATTATAGAACTGCGGAGTTGAAAGGCCTGCAAAGGATCACGTTCTGATTCCTGCATTGCAGGAAACTTTATTTCACAAATCTTATATACCGCTGGATTGTAAACAAGTTCAGAGGGGTTTACAGAGAGAATGAAACAATGAAATAATCAGTAAAAGCACTTGAAACCAGCTGTTTAAAACATTAATAAATTAATTATAAGCAACAATAAGGGGGAGACAGTTTAAAAGACACATCAACATCCTACATATTCTGGGTCGTCGTTATTTGACCCAAAGCATGCCTTGGAAACTTCTCAAAGCTTCTCCTTTTTTATGTCCATGGAGTTTTCATGGCAAAATACTGGAGTGGGTTGTCAGTTCCTTCTCCAGGTGGATCACATTTAGTCTAAACTCTCGGCTATGACCTATCTGTCTTGGGTGGCCCTGCACGGCATAGCTCATAGCTTCTCTGAGTTATTCAAGCCCCTTCGCCACGATGTTCTGGGTAAAGGTAAAGGGACCCCTGACCATTAGGTCCAGTCATGGCCAACTCTGGGGTTGTGGTGCTCATCTCGCTTTACTGGCCAAGGGAGCCGGCATACAGCTTCCAGGTCATGTGGCCAGCATGACTAAGCCGCTTCTGGCGAACCAGAGCAGCACACGGAAACGCCGTTTACCCTCCTGCCGGAGCGGTACCTATTTATCTACTTGCACTTTGACATGTTTTCGAACTGTTAGGTGGGCAGGAGCAGGGACCGAGCAACGGGAGCTCACCCCGTCGCGGGGATTCGAATCACCGACCTTCTGACTGGCAAGCCCTAGGCTCTGTGGTTTAACCCACAGCGCCACCCATGTCCCTATATACTGGGTAGGCTAGCCTAAACAAAAATGTTTCTAGCAGGCACTGAAAAGAGGAGCCTGCTGCATATACCTGGAAGTTTGGTGTAGTGGTTATAGTACTGGACTACGACTGGGGAAGAGAGCACACCACAAATCCCAGTTTAATGACTGGGTCCCCAACCTCAAATGCGCAGCAGCAACAAAAAAGCGT